CAACAATGACCCTAAATGGATGAATAATTATTTAAAGAACATCATTGGCCAAAGGATGACTATAGGTAGAAGGATAAAGCGTGGCGAAATTTACCTCCAGGATTATTATAAGATATTGGCGAGTAGGGTTAAAACCGAGATAAGGAAAGCCAAGAGGAATAATGAGGTAAGGATAGCAAGGGAGGCGAAGACAAACCCCAAAGGATTCTACCAAATGAATCAAACTAAAACACGAGAAAAGATTGGACCAATACGGTCAGATACTGGCGAGCTCACTGATAACGACGGAGAAATGAGCAATAATTTGAATAAATATTTTTCAACAGTTTTCACCACCGAAAATTTAAACATGATACCCGAGGCACCGGCTCTATTCAGAGATAGTGAAGAAAACAAATTAAGCGAGATAGTAGTGACTAGTAACGATGTTAGTAAGCAAATAGACAAACTAAAGCCTAATAAGTCACCTGGTCCCGATGAGATATTTGAAAGAATATTAAAGGAATGTAAGGAAGAGCTTAGTATGCCCTTAGCAAAGTTGTTTAACATGTCCTTTAAAACAGGTGTAGTACCAGAATCCTGGAGGATAGCAAATGTAATACCGATTTTCAATAAGGGGGATAGATCACTATCCTCTAACTGCCACCTAATCAGTCTAACATCAATAGTAGGCAAATTACTGGAAGCAAACATTTCAAACTCTATTCGAAATCACCTGGAGAAGCACCGCTAGATCAATGATTCCCAGCATGGCTTCACAAGCGGACGTTCTTGTCTAACTAATCTATTAACATTCTTTTCATTAGTTTTCGAATCTGTGGACGAGGGGCACAATTATGATGTGGTATATCTCGACTTTAGCAAAGCCTTCGACAGAGTCCCCCACGAAAGACTAATTAGAAAGGTAGAAGCACATGGCATCAAAGGTAACATCCTTAAATGGATTAGGGCGTGGTTACAGGATAGGAAACAGCAAGTGAGCATTAACGGCACTAAGTCCCATTGGAGCAACGTCACAAGTGGAGTTCCCCGAGGCTCAGCACTTGGACCATTATTATTTATTATACACATAAACGACATAGATATCGGCATAGACAGCAACATAAGTAAATTTGCTGATGACACTAAAATAGGACGTGTTATTAAATCTGACGAGGACCCCGCAAAACTACAGGAAGATCTAAACAAATTTTTCGAATGGTCTGAAAAATGGCAGATGAAATTCAACGTGGACAAATGTAAAGTACTCAGTATAGGAGATGTAAACAGGGAAACCAGATACCAGATGAACAACGATGCCATAGAGAAATCCGACTGTGAGAGAGATTTAGGAGTAATGATAAGTAGGAACCTTAAACCAAGTAAGCAATGTGTTTTTGCTCGTAACAAGGCTAATAAAGTACTTGGGTTCATACAAAGGAGTGTTAGTTACAAGACTAGCGAGGTCATCCTAAAACTGTATCTTGCGCTTGTGAGACCACACCTGGATTACGCAGTTCAGTTGTGGTCACCCTATTACAGAATGGATATAGAATTCTTGGAAAGAATTCAGAGGAGAATGACAAGACTAATCCCGGCATTAGGAACCTTGAGTATAGAGACAGGTTAAAGCATCTTAATTTGCACTCCTTCGAGAGACGTAGAGCGAGGGGCGACCTGATAGAGGTGTATAAGTGGAAGTCTGGGCTAAACAAACTATCCAACCAGGAGCGAACTCGTAACAATGGTTTTAAATTAGACAAATTTAGATTTAGGTGTGAAGTAGGTAAACACTGGTTTGGAAACAGAGTAGTGGAACAAGTTACCAAATATCATCATTAAATCGAATACGCTGAGTAGCTTCAAACATAGGTTGGATGCTTATATGAGCAATAGGGGTTGGGTGTAAACGGGACTGCCCAGTATGGGCCAATAGGCCCGCTGCAGTTTCCCCCATTCTTATGTTCTAATGTTCTTATGTAGTCGTGGTTGTTATAATCATGGTTGTGAGTGTTATAATCATGGTCGTGGTTGTTATAATCATATTCATAGTTATTATAATCATGGTCGTGGTTGTTATAATCATGGTCGTGGTTGTTATAATCATAGTCGTGGTTGTTATAATCAGAGTCGTGGTTGTTATATTCATGGTCGTGGTTGTTATAATCATGGTCGTGGTTGTTATAATCATAGTCGTGGTTGTTATATTCATGGTCGTGGTTGTTATAATCATAGTCGTGATTGTTATAATCAGAGTCGTGGTTGTTATAATCATGGTCGTGGTTGTTATAATCATGGTCGTGGTTGTTATAATCATGGTCGTGGTTTTTATAATCATGGTCGTGGTTGTTATAATCATGGTCGTGGTTGTTATAATCATAGTCGTGGTTGTTATAATCATAGTCGTGGTTATTATATTCATAGTCGTGGTTGTTATAATCATAACGTGGTTGTTATAATCATTCGTGGTTGATTCATATAATCATGGTTGTTATAATCGTGGTCGTGGTTGTTATAATTATATTCGTGGTTGTTATAATCATGGTCGTGGTTGTTATAATCATAGTCGTGGTTGTTATTATAATCATGGTCGTGGGTGATATAATCATGGTCGTGGTTGTTATACTCATGGTCGTGGTTGTTATAGTCATGGTCGTGGTTGTTATAATCATGGTCATTGGTTGTTATAATCATGGTCGTGGTTGCTATAATCATGGTCGTGGTTGTTATAATCATGGTCGTGTTGTTATAATCATGGTCGTTTGTTGTTATAATCATAGTCGTAATTATTGCTAGTATAGTCGTGGTTGTTATAATCATGGTCGTGGTTGTTATAATCATGTTTGTGGTTGTTATAATCATTGTCGTGGTTGTTATAATCACGGTCGTGGTTGTTATAATCATGGTCGTGGTTGTTATAATCATGGTCGTGGTTGTTATAATCATGGTCGTGGTTGTTATAATCATGGTCGTGGTTGTTATAATCATGGTCGTGGTTATTATAATCATGAGTCGTGGTTGTTATAATCATGGTCGTGGTTGTTATAATCATGGTCGTGGTTGTTATATTCATGGTCGTGGTTGTTATAATCATAGTCGTGGTTGTTATAATCATGGTCGTGGTTGTTATTACCATGGTCATGGTTGTTATAATCATGGTAGTGGTTGTTATAATCCTAGTCGTGGTTGTTATAATCAAGGTCATGGTTGTTATAATCGTGGTCGTGGTTGTTATAATCATAGTCGTGGTTGTTATAATCATAGTCTTGGTTGTTATATTCATGGTCATGGGTTTTATAATCATAGTTGTGGTTGCTATAATCATTTTAGTGGTTGTTATAATCATGGTCGTTGTTATTATAATCATAATCGTGGTTGTTATAATCATGGTCGTGGTTATTATAATCATAGTCGTGGTTGTTATAATCATGGTCGTGGTTGTTGTAATTATGGTCGTGGTTGTTATAATCATATTCGTGGTTGTTATAATCTTAGTCGTGGTTGTTATAATCATGGTCGTGGTTATAATCATGGTCGTGGTTGTTATATTCATGGTCGTGGTTGTTATAATCATGGTCGTGGTTGTTATAATCATGGTCGTTTGTTGTTATAATTATGGTCGTGGTTGTTATAATCATAGTCGTGGTTGTTATAATCATGGTCGTGGTTATAATCATGGTCGTGGTTGTTATATTCATAGTCGTGGTTGTTATAATCATGGTCGTGGTTGTTATAATCATGGTCGTGTTGTTATAAATCACCGATGATCATTCCGAGATAAATTATTTTATGAAGAGAAGTGACCTTGATTCTGGTTAGATTAGTCACCCTCTGCTTAAGTCATCACCTGTGTTAAGTTATCATAGTCATCATCTACATTAGTCAGTTTTAGGCCCATGTCATATGACTGACCGACCAACGATGTTCTTTCCACGCGAAGGTGTTAGTTTTCAATGCGTCTTATTATTTACGCTGGTGGACGTAAGACCTCCTACCCTCACTGACGCAGCTATGGTCAATTTGGTGTTAGTCTTGTTTATAAATACCTTCTAATCTGTCTCAAGTCTATCCGTCCTGTCTATTGCCATCCCAACTGTCAGTTCGTCTGCGTGGTGTTTGACTGTAAGCCCGTCTGTACTCTTTGTGTCGTCAAATCTGTCTGTCTTATCCGTTGTTGGCGTGTGTCTGCCTGTTTGTCTATTGTGAACCAGTCAGTCAGCTGTCTGTCTGTCATGTTAGTTGCCATATTGTCTATTTGTGCATGTATGAATCTGTCTATTTTTGTCAACCTCCTGTCTGTTTCACTGTCTATATTCACCCTGTATCTATTGTAGTCATCTTCTTCATGCATTCCTGTTATTATCGTTTTATCTCTTCTCTTTTTCCATGTACAGTCACCCACAGGAATAAGTATACACTGAAGCTGTAATGTCGTCTGGTAACGTTGAAACTGCGCATCCAGACGCATGATGAAACTCAGCTCCCCCCACCTGTTATCTCTAACTATTTTCTGTTTCCCCCTTCTTTATTCTTCTATGTACTCATCTTCCTTCCTTTACTAAGAAAAAAAGTGGGGGGAGGAGGAGGGAGCCTTACGATAACTGCAATCGCCCTGCCGGCAGACAGGGTACAGTGACATCTTTTGCCAGCGTAAATAAAATGGTTAATTAATGCCTTCCTAAAGAAATCATGGACATGGGACCAGGTTTGTTCCACTCTACGAATTTTTTGGGGTTTTTCCCCCCAAGTTTGATGAAAAACGATTGTGCTGTTTCGGCTGCCCAGAACAGACACACAAACAGACACACGCCTAGTCCTATAGTAGATTAGATTCTTAAAGACAGAAACAGAACGAAACTTTAGACATAAGATGATTAATATATATGATGAAGTATGACAGTATGATAAACGCCTTAGATGACCTGAAGATTAGCTGTAAACTAATTATATAACTAAATTAATCTAACATATTCTATCACATGAGTCAATGCCTTAACTAAATATAATCTTTCTTTCTGCAGCATAAATTCTTGATAGCGTTGGTAACGTTAACTGTACTATTAGTTACAATTTACCTGCTGTCTGTTAACGACGTCCCCATCACCTTATTACCAATGAAATCATTCAGACATGAAGGAACGTTATTCGGGATCAGCGAAGAGACGCGGTAAGTGCTGGCAGCGATAACAATACATTTTGGTAAGTACAGGGTGTACACAATGTTCTCTTCCACGCAGTGTCTTATTCAGGGTGTACACAATGTTCTCCTCCACCCAATGTTTTATTCAGGGTGTACAGAATGTTCTCTTCCACCTAATGTCTTATTCAGGGTGTACACAAAGTTCTCTTCCACCCAATGTTTTATTCAGGGTGCCCACAATACTCTCTTCTACCCAATGTTTTATTCAGGGTGTCCACAAAGTTCTCCTCTACCCAATGTTTTATTCAGGGTGTCCACAATGCTCTCTTCTACCCACTGTCTTATTCAGGGTGTCCACAATGCTCTCTTTTATCTAATGTTTTATTCAGGGTGTCCACAATGCTCTCTTTTATCTAATGTTTTATTCAGGGTGTCCACAATGTTCTCTTCTATCCAAAGTTTTATTCAGGATGTACACGATGCTCTCTTCTACCTAATGTTTTATTCAGGGTGTACACAATGTTCTCTTCTACCCAATGTTTTATTCAGGGTGTCCACAATGCTCTCTTCTACCCAATGTCTTATACATAGATAGATAGATTTTATAGATAGATCACCCATCCAAGTATTAAACAGACCCAACGTTGCTTAACTTTGCTGATCGGACAAGAAGCGGTGGTTCTAAAGTGGCAAATAATTTAGCATGGAGAGTATGATTGTTGTCCACATGCTAAAGACGACTGGATGCAGTAAAATTTCACTGGTTTTTCCTAATATCACCTAAATCTACATGTAGAGTATCAGTAATCATTGACTGAAGATATATTAGTAAACGCAACAGTATGTCGATGCACCACTCTCTAGCCTCTGCCTGGTAAAGAGAACCCCTACCCCTCCATCTCCTTACGTCACAGCACCTCGCCACTGCCAAGCAGACAGAAGGTAGGGGCCAAAGACGTTACATTTTGTAAACAGTATTAAAACTGTATCCATGTAAAAATACACGCAGACAGAAACAGAGGTGGAATACTTATTTAACAAATTTTGCCAGGCTACTATTGCGAGATTCCTTAAGGCCATTCTAGGAGTTTAACTAGGTCCACGATGTAAAGAAACACAGACATGCCACATCTCACAAGACTGTGCGATATATAAACAATATTAAACAGTAAGTTATTTCGACCAAGGATAGCTGATTAAAGCCACCAAATGCTTATTCCAAGGCTCGTGAACGATTTATCACTGAACTCTATTAAAAAAAAGCTATTACTGAGAAATTCTTATTATATTAACATAATATGTAGAAAAAACGTTGTTATTAATACTTTCTTTAACGTAAATCTATGCAGTATTATATCAGCGAGATGTGGCTGAGAGGGCGAGGTGCTCGGAGACAACAAAAACATACATACAGACCCCAAGTAATATTTATCACCCAACACCTATAGAAATAAGCACCGAGTGAATTTGTTGGCTATCCTTGATCTAATTTTCTTATTGTTTACCATTTTTTTATACTTATACTGTCTAAGTATAATAGAAATTGTTTACTTGCATTGTCTTTTTTGTTTGCTGAGCTGTATTGTTTGTATACTGTTGTAGAGAAGGTAATTTACTATGATTGACCCCACCTGCTGTATACCTTTTGTAAGGGGGATTAATAATGTGTTCTTTCTTTTATTTTTTCTTTGTTATTTTTGTAAGTTTATCTGAATGTGTCTCTCCAAGTTCATTTATTTTCTAAGGATATTTACTTATTTTCTGTTCTGATGGGCATATCTGGGACACCCACCCCCCTTTTTTCCTGTACATTATTAAACATTATTTCAGTACTTACTCACTGATATATAATCGATGCCACCGCCCAGATTTTTAATCAGAATATAATAACGTTAACCTATATTTGATGATCTCAACCATAAGATATATTTAACCAGATTAAAAATTGTATTGTTACTAAGGACCCCAACAATAAAAACCACAATCACGTTTTAGCATAAATATTAGCGTATTGTTTATATTTGGTTAATGATATATGCTTATGGTATATGAATGTCGGCCACACTAGAATAACCCATGATAGTACATCCTTCTTTCCTCACACAGACAAACTATGGAATACTCTGCCTTCTTCTGTGTTCCCATACTCATACAATCTATCTCACTTCAAAATTTGGTTTTCCAGCATCTTCGTGTTGTAGATTAATATAATAGTTTTCTTTTCTAGCTTTAAATTCTTTTTACTCTTATTTTTTCGCCCCCTAGTCCCCGTTGCGGGTCGATGACCTGTGGCCAGGTCGGTAAATCCCCCTCCCCCCCCCAAAAAAAATTATACATATATATATATATATATATATATATATATATATATATATATATATATATATATATATATATATATATATATATATATATATACACACACATATACACATTGTTATGCCGTCTCTTAATTTACTTTAATATCCAGGTTCTAGGCATAACCAAACAAAAAAAGTGAAGTAAATCAAAAGGGAATAAAAATAAATAAAGAAAACCTTTAAAAATTTAATTAAATTAAATATTAATACAATAAAGAGCCACGTAGGCTGTCACAACAAATTGATTCACTATCGAAACTTTTAAGACACAAATGATACTAAAACATTGAAACATCAAAAGAATAAAAATAAAGCTTTGGATTACGTTAACACTACATAAACATATAAAATAGCTAACACTGAAATAAACTATGGTGAAACAACACTGAATTACTTAAATGTAACTAAGGAAACACTGATGGACACATAAGAGACATGAATAGGTACTCACATAGATATACCACATTGGTGGCGACAGGAACAACACAGAAATAAATTGAAGTATAAATAACAGGTGACGGGAGTCACTCAAAAGAACGAGAACTGCATGACAAGAGGACTGGACTGACCTCCGTCTACTGGTGACTACTATATATAGGGTAGCTCCCACCAATGAGACCAGCCTGTGAAACATGGGTCGTTTAACGATGCAGATGGCCGTTAGAGACACAAAGAATGCTTGTTACAATACTAAATGAAGAAATAAGATGGGCTTGAACAAATAATAACAGTTAAAACCTTAACAGCACAGGGTAAGGTGACTAGATTATATAATAGTAAATATAACACATCATTACAGGAATAATATGGAACAACATGGAAGCATGTTATATAAAAAAATAGAAAAATACGACACGGTCGTAACAATATATATATATATATATATATATATATATATATATATATATATATATATATATATATATATATATATATATATATTTACATATATATATATATATATATATATATATATATATATATATATATATATATATATATATATATATATATATATATATATATATATATATATATATATATATATATATATATATATATATATATATATATCACAATGTAAACGTGGATAGATAAATCTTGATAAAAACACGGAAAATTATTCAAGACATATATATATATGAATATATATGATTTTATATATATATATATATATATATATATATATATATATATATATATATATATATATATTTTTTTTATGGGATTAACCCACCAGGCCACAGGTCAATGACCCACATCAGGGTCTAGGTGCGAAAATATAATAATAATAATAATAATAATAATAATAATAATAATAATAATTAATACAAATACTGAAAATATTAAATCAAAATATAATAATACTACTATTACTAATACTACTATTCTACTAATAATAAGGGACCATAAATAAAATATATAAATCAATTGTGAGAAACGATATACTGTATGTATGTTGTGTTGTCAAAGTAAGAAAAACAATTGAAACCCTGTGAATGTGTGTAAATGAGGCAGAAAGGTACATCAGCAACCTGATCTGGCATATGGCAGCAGCGTCTCCCATTGCTCAACACATTATGCTTCCAATATCTTCCCAGGCGTTAGTAGCATTTGTTAGTTTGACCTTTTTCTCTCTTTCCTTTTCTTCTTTTAGACTTTCCATACTTCACCCACGCACTGGGAAGTCGTTGTGGCAATAGTGCAGGTTGAGGCATTTGTCAACTGCAACTTTTCGGAATATTCAATGTATTCATAACATTCTCTTATATTCTTAGGCAACATAAAATAATGTACTTCAACTTCAACTCAAAGACTGGATATTGGGTTATGAACACGAAATACATAGACCTGATTCATTGGGGCTCAGATATGCTCACTTTACACATTAGTTACAGACAACAAATAACTTAAATGATCATCAATGTCTCAGTTATCTTAATATACAGGTTTATGAATAATTCATATCTTAAGACTAATCTAAACAAAAGGCGCCATCTTTTGTTGTTTTCTCTGATAAGAATATTGGAGAAAACTTTTGTACGGATAACACACGAAAATAAACTGTTTTATGGACGATTGAGAATAATATGCGTCATCTCATCTGAAGGTAACTAAAATGTATCAATGTGATCAGTACACTGTACAGTGGCGGTCAAAAGTAATCATCCACTCCACCACCTAACCTCTGCCCCTGGTTAAATCCTTTCTACACGGCAAGTCACGTAGGGTGGAGAGGGGGACTAGTCGGCTTGGGGGAGAGCTGTTTGTTGGGGGGGTGGGGGTGAGAGGGTGATATGTGATGCAAATTGCTCATGGGAGAGGTAGGAGATTGAAGGAAGCAGGGAAATTCATGAAAGAAGGAAAGGAAGGATGGATGTTTGTTTTCTTTTCACTATATTATCATAGGTTTTTCACGTTTGAAAGAATAATAGATGAGGACCTTTATTTTATTATTATTACACTGTACTGTGTCATCCATTTTCTTATTATCATTTTATCAGGTTGTAGTTTAGGTTTTAAACAACGGTAATGAGATATTTATAATAACATGATATGAGGAGAAATATTGAATATGAAGGAGGAAATCACATTTATTTTTAATATTCTCCAACACAGGTCTTACAGAATCACTATAGCCCATCCAATGTCCTCCTCGCCTTTCCTTCGTGGTCTCCCAGGCTTAAAATTATATAATTTATATGAATTAAGACTTCAAATATGTATTGATTCCATTACAAACTGAAATTAGTCATCAAATCACACAAAATTATCACCGTGGCCTGTTTCTAAGCTCCCTGATTCCTCCCAGCGGGACTAACCAAAGTCTCTCAGTGACCTTAACCTCCCTTGTAATTTCTGACACACTATAGCCAGCCGTGAGCAATCCGATAATTTGCCAGCGACTTGGTGTAGAGCACCTTATGCTTAAAAGTCCCTTCATCTGGTACTGGATTTCGACCCCGTCAGCAAAATTGGCACTGGCACGAGTAAGGAAGGCAGCCAAGAAAATGGAAAAGAGAGTTGGTGTTACTGCACATCCCTGCTTAACCCCGTTTGGATAGGGAAGAACTCATTCTGGGTGCCATTGTGCAGGACTCTGCCATTCATGCCATTGTGAAGTTGTCTTACATTGGCAATGAATATTGGTGGGTAGCAAGAGAGCTTCCCTGCTGTCCGAGCCGGAGGTCTTAGTAAAGTTAATGAACGCTAAGTACAAGTCACAACGCTGTTCTCTGCCCTTTTTCTGTATCTGGTGGGCAGCAAAGATCGTATCAGTGGTGCCACGTGATGTTCTAAAGCCACATTGAGATTCTGGGAGGAAGTTTTCCGCCTCAGGAAGAAGTTTATTTAGGAGGACTCGATGGATAATCTTGCCAGCTACAGACAATAGCATGATCCCACGGTAGTTGCCACAGTCAGACCCGTCTCCCTTGGGGTATTTCCTCCTTCTCCCATATATTCTCCAGGAGAGAGTGAAGACGGCTGGTAGGCAGAGGCCCTGTGAATTTGTTATTTTTCGTCTGCTTGATGGTAGTAGCTACCTCATCCCGGAATGGAGTGCTGAGGAACATCCTGAGTAGTCAGGAGATCTACATCGGTGTTTCGGTTGAGCAACGAATGGTAGTGCTCTCTTGAGCACTAACGGATGCTTCGTTTATAATTAGGGAGTTACCGTCGGATGAGCAGAGGGCGGCCACGCTATGAGTAGTTGGTCCATATATTGTTTTAGCATAATTTAAAAATTCACGCATTTTGTGTTGATCCGCAAATTTTTGCATTATCACATGTTATATTTTTCCACCAATCGGTTATTAGTTTCCGCTAGACCACTGCTTTCTTCTCGTGATGGTTTCAGCTCTGGTCCGAGACTTAGAGTTGTTCTACCAGTCAGTGATAGCAGCACGTATACTATTGATGAGTACTTCGATTTTCGGGTAGTTTTCAGCAAGCCAATCCTGGTGACCGGGCCGAGGGTCTCGTTGCAGGATTTTTTGATGACAGCTTTGATGGGACCCCATTCGGCACTCGGATTTTGGGTATTTGTTGTTAGGTTGTTTACAAGCCCACCATTGAGGTGCTCTCTAAAAGCATGTGCTACCGCTCGATCCTCCAGGCTCCTATAGTGTTAAAGTCTCATCTAGACGCTTGTTTCCTTCGCCGTTTTGGGACGACGTAAGAGGAGAGTTTGGCTCTGACGAGCCGAATATTTGTGTCATAGTGGCGCAAGCCACATGTGGCTCGGGTGATGAGGACATCTCTTTCTCTGACAATGATGTAGTCAATGAGATTCCAGTGTTTGGATCGTGGGTGTTGTCAAGAACCCTTGAACTTGTCAGCCAGCGTAAACAAGGTATTGGTGGTAGTGAGGTTGTGTGCAGCACACTTGCTAAGGAGGAATAGGCCGTTGGAATTACACTTGCCTACTCCGTTTCTTCCTATAGATCCTTGCCATATGTTAGCATCTCTGCCAACTCTGATATTGAAATCACCAAGGAGAACAACCTTATCTTCTCTGGGTATAGAGGTTAGCACTCTGTCAAGGTCGGCATAAAAGGCCTCCTTGATGTCATCCTCTGCATCCAGTGTTGGGGCGCATGCGCTGATGAAGAAGGCATGACTTGAGTGATTCAGTGGGATTCTGAGCGTCATGAAGCACTCGTTAATCCCAACTGGCATTTCGGTTAGCCTATGAAGGATGGATTGGTGAATGAAGAAAGCGAACTCCGTAAATGCAGGTTCTTTCCGCAGCAGGCTTACCCTTCCAGATGAAGGTATAGCCGGACCCCTGTTCTGTGAGACGACCCTCATCTGGAAGCTGGGACTCACTAATGGCGTCTATATCGATGTTATACTAAGACAGTTCTTTGGCCACAAGGGGTAGTTCCTCTTACAGGGCACTCATTTGTACCAATATCTAGAAGGGTCCTGACATTCCATGAGGCGACCATAAGAGGTTGTTTAGTTTGTTTTTGCTTTGATCTGTTATTGTGAATATGTTTTCGACCGCATAAGGATGACCTAACTGGGTGCAGTTACCAGTCAGGTTGGTTCTTTAGGCAGATTATGTTTAGGGCACCTTTTCTAGCCCCCTCCCCATGTGGGGTGAGGAGAGTGGCTCCTGGTAAGGGCTGCTTAGTCGCACAGACAGGACCGGTGTGCGCTGTCACTAAGATCCCAGTCATAAACGACTATCTTATCTACGCCGCCCAAGTGCAGAGTTGTGACCAGAGACTCCTGGTTATCATTTCTGCCTGTCCCCGTCGCCACTCTTTTGTCTTCATAGGACTTTTAATAGGGATAGGGGTTTTGATGATGAGGAGAAGTATGATGAGCTGGATGAAGGCTGCGCATGAGTTGATTTATGTAGTGAGGCAATGCCTTCTTCCGCCAATGTCGTCGCTGGGTTCCCGTGTTGGTCACCTCTTTCATCTATTCCACTGTTGGGGTCTTACTGGAGCTCTGTAAGCATGTCTGCCTGATGTGGGGCTCCACCTCAGATTTTTCGTTCGGGGTTTATTCCCGTAGCCTTTGATTACCAAGGTTAATTCGCAATGCAGTGGGGCAGTGGTTGGTAGGCGCCAGGGCGTGTCCACATGCTAGTGGGTCTATGAGCCGTCCCTCTGGGGTCCACTGCTTCTCCAAGATCCCCTGCTGGGTCTAGCCTGGGGTCACGTGGCACCCAGTTACCGTGTGTTGCCACGAGGAGGAACAGTACGACTCTTGAAGATGAAAAGACTGTGTACTGGCAGTGGAAGACTAACACAAGGTTGCTTCCCTGTTCACCAATGGGGATAGCCAGTGGCAGTAGCTTAAAGCGAGAGGAAACAAGCAGAGCCTGCAACATAAATGTCATTATGTTACCCGTAAGACCCTTAATAATAACTGCAAGACACTGATGAAGTCTAGGGAAACACATAGTTAGTAAAATAGACTACCTGTATATATTAAAGTTAACAGTCACTGTAACACACACAAAGGAAAATGGTCGTGAGAGAAATATTAATCACCAACTATAAAACCAAAGCCCAGCTATGAACTGACGTGGTGGGGCGCAAGAATGCTGACTAAAGGGCGTCATGACGTAGTGGGGCATGTTTAAGAGAAAGTTCTGGAACAGGACTGTGGCACCAGTACAGAACACATTAATATGATTAAAGTACAATCAGTAAGCATAATACCAATTCATGTTTAAGTAATTACACATGTTATTGAATTACAGAAAGCTTACACACCGTCTATATACACGCTGAACTGCATATCTGCATTGTCTATCATGCTGAAACAATTGTATATTTGTATGACGGTTTCACCTAATAAATATGAAACTGGTAAAATTTCCTCTTTACTTCATGAACTTGTTAATTCTAAGTTCATATTTTTTATTCTTAGTTTACTAAATCCTAATACTGAGCATCCCAAAAACTTTTTAGTGTAGGTGAACATCCCGATGTCCCCTTGTGCGGGTAGTTAACACATCTTGCAATATTTCTCGTATATCTCATAAAACTTGCAGTGTCAAGTTCCTTTACCTCCATCATTCCACCACCACCACCAACAACAACAACAACAACAACAACAACAGAAACAAAACATTTTCGTATTAATACAATATATCTTAAAAGTAAACATCTAGAGCACGATTTTGTTGTGTTTCTAATTGAAAGATCCTCATTGCTAGGTATGTTAGCTAAATGTACCATCAGGTATATCTCGTCACACTCACTTACCGCTATACAGTATATGCGATTTATTGTCTCCTTGCTTAACAAATAAATCATTCATACTTCACTGAGCTACGCCTTCATTTAAGAACTACACTTCACACATTAGGATAGTACAACACTGGAATAATCAAACAATATCAAATTCTATCAACAGGCCGAGGTTAATCTCGGTAACAAATCTCTTACGGTATCTCTCGCGATGGTTGAGAATTGCATGATTCTCGAGAAACCTGACCTAATCTATACTCGAAAAGGAGACAACATGACTAGGGCAATTTCACGCCATTCACGAGAGACAACCTGACGAGATCTGTCCGTAAGATTACTGTAGTTCTGTATACTGACACACCTGTCTCAAGAATACTGAATTGGCTCTTTACAGAAATAATAAGACACAAGATCCTATCATAAAAAGAGGAACACAAAGTGAGGGGAACCCAGAGGCCAAGGAAACCTTGATGACACACCTACCACCAAAGTCAGGGACTTCTCAGGGCATTGTTACTGCACGCCAACCACCAAGCTCAGAGACAATCACCTCTAAAGACATCAACAGTGTTCATCTGCCACTACAGCCTGGGGATTCACATCTACCATACGAGGAACTGAATTTAAAGCAAATAAAACAATCACCTGTAGATCTGTTTAAAGAGACGCCCGAGACCAACGATGCACTCAACACTAATAATAATCCTCAGTTGAAGAAAATACTCTTTTGGAATGATGTGAGTTACCCCTACACGGCCTGCTGCTTGTTTTCTTTGTTTAAGAGATAGTACATTTCTAAACACAAAGAGAAGTTGATGTTACACATTATTACTGAGCCTCAATACCTAAGGTATTTCAGTCATAACGTAAAAAATTTCAGAAATAGAACTAAGAGATTGATAATGCCAAATGCATATACATTAAAAAAAGAAAATCTTAATTCTTGCTAGTCTATGACAAGAGCTAACCTAATGTAAATATCACCTCATAACAGAACATATTTTATTTTAATGTATTCTGTCACTATTTTCCCTACATTAGTTACGAGTACAACTATGATGTCACGAAGGAATTATGGAAATTCAGTAGCTTCAGACTCCCATCATCACTGATATTTACTAGTATTAAGTTTCGAATTTCATTAGAATTCTTGCTTATTAAAGAAAAATATAAGTACTCCTGCTGCAAAGCTGTTGAAAAGCGAAAATAGTGATAAGTATATCAGAAACATATCATGGATATTTTCTTATATTTTCAGGGTTACAGTAGCAAGCACTTTGGGTTCGGGTTCGGTCGTGAGCCCTTCTTGCGTGCTGGCTGCCGTGTCAATACTTGCTTCACCACAGGCGACCGATCCCGCTTTCCGCTGAAGGAGATTGACGCTCTTGTGTGGCATTTTAGATCAAATGACAGATCGCTTCCTACTGTCAGGTAAAGAAAGAGTACTTGAAAGATACGTTTATCATTGACGTTTTAATGTTATTAGTCTACGATTCAAAACTGAAGGTCTTTAAGCGTATAAAAAGGCTCATCAACAATTAAAATTTATGAAACATCATATGCTGTTCAATGGCGAGAAAAATATGGTAAATGGTTTTAGTTTACTGAAGAAAATAATTTTTTTTAGATCGGAACAGGATGAAGGATATCTGATACCAAATAGCTATTTCTTCAGTAGTACCCAATATTCAGCCTTAGCACTTATATTTCCTTTATATAGATTCAGTCAACGTAAATGAGCGAAATAATTTTATACACTCGACAACATTAAGTCAAACATCCATCAAGATGAAATAATGTGTGCCAAGTAAATTACATGTTAAATTAGGTTAGATTAGGTTGCTAGGTTTATGTCAGGTTAGGTTTAGGTTTTGTTAGGTTAGATTAGGTTGTTTGGTAAGGTTAGATTAGGTTGTTTGGTATATGTTAGGTTAGGTTATTTGGTTTATGTTAGGTTAGGTTAGGTTGCTAGGTTTATGTTAAGTTAGGCTGCTTGGTTTTTTAGGATAGGTTAGGTTGCTTGGTTTATATTAGGTTAGGTTGTTTGGTTTATGTTAGGTTAAGTTACTTGGTTCTATGATAGTTTAGGTTTTTGGTTTATGTTGGGTTAATTTGCTTGGTTTATGTTAGGTGTAATAGTCCCTGTCAACAGATACCTGTAGACAGTAGTACTTACTGTATATAATTGTGGCCTATCTACATATATTTATTGTATGATTTTCACTACCTGAATTAACTAGATAAACGCCAACTTAGCATAGCTTATCATTCCTTCTCACGTGCTAGATGATGTTTCCATATCCTCCACCTTCGACAGATGTGTTATAGGAGCTTTGGAAATTACCTCCTATATTGTCTCGTAAAAGGACAGTTGCCTATTATCGGTTACTTCATCATTATCAACAACATAGAGTGCATAGATTTTGTAAAATGAAAAAAAAAATAGTGTTTTTGCAAACATTAAGTACTCTGAGATAACTGCAAATGAAGACTACAAGTAACTCCAACTGAAACTACAAAGTAATAAGGCATACTAAGATAAATTACGTATCAGTAATACTATAGTATGCAAAAACTAACATTTTAAAAGATCAGAAGCACACTGAAATATTACACGGCCCCTTCAAAGTTGGTGGATGAGTGTAACAGACTGAGGAGTTAGGCCGCTCGAGCCGTTAGCAGAGACGGGAAATATGAAGTTGTTCGCAGTCATATTTCCCGCCTCTGCTGACGGCCGTGTAATATTTCAATGTGATTCTGATCTTTTAAAATATCAGTTTTTGCATAAGGTAGTAATATTGATACGTAATTTGTCTTAGTCTGCCTTATTGTTGGTATAAGTATATATTAAATGCGTCCTCCGAAAGCGTAAATTTGTTACCAGAGTTTAACAGATAATTCATGTATAAGATTTCTGATAAAATTCCTACGTGCTCATGTTTGAAATAATGGATGTATGTATCTTTATATAATTTAGCTGAATATCTTTCTCGTCAGAAACTGTCATCCCAACGATTATGAAAAAACTCATTTAGAAATACATCATTACTTCAGAACGAAATCGGACAGATTTGCAACAGCCAATCAATCGGCTGTAACTCTTGAAAAGAGAGCGGGGCATCTCTTCTCAGCTGAGAAAAAACGCACTTTCGCGAGATTTTCGAACATATCAATATCCTGTTCATAAGGTGCCAGTGGAAGGGAACACCGATTACAGTGCGTTTTTTTCCCAGCTGAGAAGATATGCCCCGCCCCATCTTCAAGAGTTACAGCTGATTGGCTGTTGCAAATCTGTCCGATTTCGTCCTGCAAAGTATGTCTTTTAAAACTGCTTTGTGAGGAATTCCTTTCGTAACATTAAGAATAATTTTGAGTGGCCTGTGCTTGTCGAATCTTCTCTTCAAGTATTGACTATAGATAGGTATCCGGTTTCTTGTTATGGTGTAACCAAAGACACGGGTACTTAATCAAGTCATCACAATCCAAAATTTATTGTAATAACTCATATGTTGTGTGTTGGTCTTCAGGTCCCCCCATACCCGCTACGTCTTCTGGATGATGGAGTCAGCATCTTACCTCTACGGCAATATTGGCCACTTCAATAACATCTTCAATTGGACATTTACGTACAGACTCGACTCCGATTTCCCAAACCCGTATGTTCATCTGGTTCTCAGGGACTTGTGGAACCCTGTTTATTGTTGGCCCTGTCTTGACGAGAGCTTTTGTACCTAAAAATAATAATTATACCACATGACCATTTGTTGTGGCAGGTGGACCGTTGACGCAAGATTCTAATAAATTCCTCCATTAGCTTAAAATGGAAGTTTTTATGAGAGAATGATGAAGATAAATTATTTTGTTGGAGGTTTATTCTGAGACATGGAGTTCTTTGCATTCATCTGTTGTGAGGTTCAAGTAATTAACACTTTTGGGGTTTTCATACATAAAATAGCATATGATCTAAATTATCGCTTTAGGGTTTTCATATGCAAATTTTCGTATAAAGTAAAAAAAAAACTATTTTGCATATGAATGCTAGACACGCAAGACACACATTAGAGGCCGTCAGTGCGATCTGGCAACAATGTACACTACACTCCAAGGTCACCATAAGAACATAAGAAAATAAGGAGTCTGCAATAGGCCGGTTGGCCTGTGCATGGCAGCTCCTGTCGAGAGTTACTACCACTCTCTATCATCAATGAATCTATCTAGCCTCCTTTTAAAAATCTCCAGCGTTCCAGCACTTACTACAAAGTTGTTAAGCTTGTTCCACTCATCCACCACCCTATTTGTGAACCAGTTCCTTCCTATCTCCCTCCTAAACCAGCCTCCCTTTTGTGTTTAAAGGACACAGGATATAATGTTGACTTACATTTCCCAACAATGATTTCATTTATTATTCATTTATTCATAAGAGTGTTGTGAGAGTTTTGAACCATGCCTCGTGTTGCTGGCCAGGTTTGAGGGGTGAGGAAACGTAAAAAGTGCAAGGAAATTGCACCATGTGGTGATAGTATAGTGCCACCTGATGCCTCTCCCAAGGTAAATATTATTTTTTTACAACGTTTTTGCGATAACTATTTTTTTCCTAAATGTGTATGCTTTATAACGGAATAAGGTTCATATTGCAATCACATGAAATAACGAAGGTATAAAGTGATGTATAAACATTTTCATTAAGCATAAACAAAAATTTTGTGTTCTATTCTTACATATAGAAATAATTATTTTAACGTGATTACTTATATAAAAGTGTTTTTATAAAATTTATTTACAGTGCTAATGCAAAAAATCCCCCCTTTTTATTTCAAATAGCAAACTTGCTGTCACTCATAACGTAAAATTATCTCTCTTGTGGGGCAGTCAAGTGCGGTGAGGTGAGTAAGGCCAGACCCAAAGACGTGTGGGAGAGAGCTCCTACCCAAACCCAAGAGTGTGAAGTTCTCCCCACTATAACTTCTGTCAATATATAACAAGTGGCACAAGTTTCTTATACATTGTAAATTCTGAGGTGAAAAAGAACTTTAGACAGTGGTATTTTTTGCACGTAGTAGTTTAACGTTACAATATCAAAATGCTATCGTGATAAAACATTATCCTAACTTTGTTTTTCCATTCTATTTTTCTATCTGGTCAACACTTTGTCAGGTACGGGCGTGTCTACCGACGTCGGCAGCCCCTTCAGGAGCCAGAAGAGGAGCGGAACTACGCAGCCAACAAGACCAAGCTGGCAGCCTGGTTTGTGTCCAACTGTTGGACAGTCGGCGGCAGGGAAGAGTGAGCCATGACTTCGTATTTTGTGTTTTATTTTATGTTAAATATGTCTCTATATAAAGCTAACTGTTCAGGAACATTGAAGCTTTACAATACATTATATATTATTCCTTAAGCCAGTAAACATTTTCGACCCATCTCGAAGCTGCACTCATTTGCCCCACCCACAAGCTAACACACGAAACAATACATTAACGCTTTCGCCGTCTGATGACACTATTTGGGTTACGCACGTGGGCAGTGGTAAATTAAAAATAGTTTCAACGAAAAATCTATGCATTTTGGTAAGACGCTAATAGCTTCATTGGCTGGTCAACGGGTGAGATCTGGACCGCAAGATTGGGCTGCAAAATGGAGGAAATACCTATACTCATTGAAATATCCTATTATATATATTTTTGTTTTATTCTAATATTTTAACAAACACATTATCCTTTGAATACACATGACGATCACTTGTATTCGCAAGTATAAATTTTGAATAATATGATTCCAGAAGTACCAACCAATACAGACAGAGACTACTGTATCAAGGCTGTAAAAAATAATTTCATTAATGAAAGTTCCATAATTAAGATATTTTTAGAATTGCAAGACTGTAAGCTTAGAATTCATAAATGATTGAAAATCAAGTACATTTCTTCCTGATTCTCCTCTCTCTTTGTGACCTTGCAATTCTCTTAATGTAATTATGAAATCCTTTATCTTGACTTAATCCTCCTTTAGATTCAGTCACCTGCATTTATACCTGGTACAGTGGCAGACACATTTTGTGAGATGTGTTTGTTTACTTCATATTAAAAGTCCAGAAATGGCCCAGGTTGGCCCTAAGGAACCTCGTAATAGTGACCAGATTAATGATGCTAGATAAGCAATCCACATAATTGCTACATCCCACAAAACGAACCAGCCACTGTACCAGGTATAAATGCAGGCAACTGTAGGTGCAAATCCTTTTATCCAACCCAAAGGACTCACTTTGTAAATCTGAATACTCAAGACCACAAATGTAAAAAAATAACCTGTAAAATTTTCCTTACTTAAAATTATGATTATCATCAATCAGGACCTATACAGGACCTAAAATAGGACGTGTTATCAAATCTGACGAGGACTCGGCAAAACTACAGGAAGATCTAAACAAATTTTTCGAATGGTCTGAAAAATGGCAGATGAAATTCAATGTCGACAAATGTAAAGTACTCAGTATAGGAGATGTAAACAGGGAAACCAGATACCAGATGAACAACGATGCCATAGAGAAATCCGACTGCGAGAGAGATTTAGGAGTAATGATAAGTAGGAACCTTAAGCCAAGTAAACAATGTGTTTTGCTCGTAACAAGGCTAATAAAGTACTTGGGTTCATACAAAGGAGTGTTAGTTACAAGACTAGCGAGGTCATCCTAAAACTGTATCTTGCTCTTGTGAGACCACACCTGGATTACGCAGTTCAGTTCTGGTCACCGTATTACAGAATGGATATAGAATCCTTGGAAAGAATTCAGAGGAGAATGACAAGACTAATCCCGGGCATTAGGAACCTTGAGTATAGAGACAGGTTAAAGCATCTTAATTTGCACTCCCTCGAGAGACGTAGAGCGAGGGGCGACCTGATAGAGGTGTATAAGTGGAAGACAGGGCTAAACAAAGGGGACATTACAAAGGTACTCAAATTATCCAACCAGGAGCGAACTCGTAACAATGGTTTTAAATTAGACAAATTTAGATTTAGGCGTGAAATAGGTAAACACTGGTTTGGAAACAGAGTAGTGGATGAATGGAACAAGTTACCAAATATCATCATTAACTCGAATACGCTGAATTGCTTCAAACATAGGTTGGATGCTCATATGAGCAATAGGGGTTGGGTGTAAACGGGACTGCCCAGTATGGGCCAATAGGCCCGCTGCAGTTTCCTCCATTCTTATGTTCTTATGTTCTTATGTTTTTCAGGCTGGTAAAACTGTTAAGGAAATGGATCAAGATTGACCAGTACGGCCAATGTGGGTCGTTGAGTTGTGTGAGGAAGAACTCCAGTGGATGTTACTCTATGCTTGAGAAGAACTACAAATTCTACTTCTCCTTTGAAAATTCTCTTTGTCAAGATTATGCGACAGAGAAGTTGTTCAATATCTTAAGGTAAATTCCCAAATTATCTAATACTTGTTGATTTGTTTTAGAACATTATTTGGTATAGAATTTACTCACAAGACATAATCAGACAAAAATAACCTTGAAAATTGATAACCTTTATGGAATCTTTATATTTTCTATATAAAATCTAACTTCCATTATACATTTCTTTTCACTATTTTTTGAAGAAACATACATCGTTGGGCTTTATTGACTCATATATTCAATATATATAAAATAATACAAATGGGTGTACAGCATATCAGGGAAGTGAGGTGTGAGGAGTAATATGTTAATGAGACAGTAAATTAACAAGATAGTAGTTAATGTTCATTAAGTCTGTAAACAAGGCAGAGTGGTTACTTCTCCAGCATTGCACTTTACAGTCCATATCATTATTGGCGAGGCAGACTGTGATGAATATTGTGTAGACCAGAATAATATTATTACTACAGCCACGGTCCAACTGGCTCATAGTAAAATACAATTGTTTACAAACAGAAAAAAATGGAAGTTGAGCTATAACAGAGTGTGTAGGGTAGACAGGCGAAGGGTGTGTTAAGTGGGGGTAGCGGCCGAGAGGATATACAGTAGCTGCTGAATGGGTCGGGCGGCTAAGTGGGAATAGCAGACGAGTGGTTATAGTGGCTGAGTGGGTATAGCGGCTGAGTGAGTAGAGTGGATGAGTGGGTATAGCAGCAAGGTGGGTTTAGCGGCTGAGTGGGTTATCAACTGAGTGGGTTGTCAGCTGAGTGGGCATAGTGGCTGTGTGTATAATGGGACAGTGGGTAGAGCACCTGAGTGATTAAAGTGGCTGCACGGATGTAGCAGCTGAGTCGGTATATTGGCTGAGTGCATATAGCGACTGAGTGGGTACAGTGGCTGAGTGGGTAGAGTAGCTAAATGGGTATAGTGGCTGAGTGGGTACTGTGGCAGAGTGGGTATAGTGGCTGAGTGGGTAAAGTGGCTGATTGGGTATATTGTCTGAGTAGGTATCGTGACTGAGAGGGTATAGTGGCTCATGACGCTCAAGACCCGCATGACGCGTCCCCTGCCAGTACACAGCCTCCTTACCATCAAGACTCCTGCTGTGCCTCCTCGTGGCAACACACGATAACTGGGTACCTCGTGGGCCCAGGCTAGACCAGCAGAGAATGTCGGAGCAGCAGTGGGCCCCAGAGGGACAGCGTACAGGCTCACTGGCATGCGGATACGTCCTGGCGCATATCAATCGCAGCCCCGCTGCCTTGCGGATTAACCTTGTGGGTATAAGGCTATGAGAGTAAACCCCGAACGAAAAATCTGCGGTAGAGCCCCGCATCAGGCAGACATGCTTACAGAGCTCCAGTAAGACCCGAACGGCGGTGTCAGTGGAAGAGGTGACCAACATGGGAAGCCAATGACTACACCGGCGGATGCAAGATGGACAGGCTACTAAGGCGAAACCCAACAAACTGTGCCTTCGGCAGTCCATTACATCTCTTCCTCTCCCCAGTCGTTGCAACTGCTTGTACCACTGGATCAGGAAAAGGAAGAGCCAGGATGTCTGGTTGCAGCTCCTGCTTCACATCATAAATGAACTCACGCGCAGCCATCATCCATTTCATCAAACCTCTCACCATCATCAAAACCCCTATCCCCCAAAAGTCCTATGGCGATAGGCGAATGGCAACGAGGACAGGCAGAGATGACTACCAGGAGTCTCTAGTCACAACTTTGCACATGAGCAGCATGAATAAGATGGTCGTTTATGCACTGGGATCTAGGCAACAGTGCAATCTGGTCCTGTCTGTGCAACAGAGCAGTCCTTTCCAGCAGCCACGCTGCTCATCCCACATGGGGAGGGGACTATAAAAGGAGCTCTAAACATAACCTGCCCAGAAAACCAACCTAGTCTGGGAAACCGCATCCAGTAAGGTCATTCTAATGTGGTTGAAAACATAACCATAATCACAACTCAAAGCAAAAACAAACTATGCAACCTCTTATGGTCCCTGAATGGAATGACAGGCCCCTTCTGGATACTGGCACAAATGAGTGTCCTGAAAGAAGAACAGCATGTGTGGCAAAAAAGCTGGCTAGGTATAACATCAACATAACAACAATTATTAAGTCCCGGCCCCCAGACGAGGGTAGACTCATAGATCAAGGTTCGGCTATACCTTCTTCTGGAAGCGTAAGCCTACTGAGGAGAGGAACAGCATTTACGGAGTTGGCTTTGCCATTCGCCTATCCATCCTGCATAGGCTAACTGAAATGCCTGTTGGGATGAACGAGCGCCTCATGACGCTCTAGTCCCATTAAATCACTCACGTCATGCCTTCTTCATCAGTGCATACGCCCCAACACTGGATGCAGAGGATAACATCAAGGAGGCCTTTTATGCCGACCTTGACAGAATGTTAACCTCTATCCCGAGAGAAGATAAGGTTGTGCTCCTAGGTGACTTGAATGCCAGAGATTCTGACATATGGCAAGGAACCGTAGGTAGAAACGGAGTAGGCAAGTGTAATTCCAACTGTCTACTCCTCCTCAGCAAGTGTGCTGTCACCAACACCTTGTTTAGGCAGGCCAACAAGTTCAAGGGTTCTTGGCAACACCGATGATCCAAACACTGGCATCTCATTGACTACATCATTGTCAGAGAAAGAGATCGCCGAAATGTCCTCATCACCCGAACCATGCATGGCTCAGACCACTGTGACACTGATCATCGGCTCGTCAGAGCAAAACTCGCCCTTCACTTTGCCCAAAATGCGCGAAGGAAACAAGCCTCCAGAAGAGACTTTAATACTAGGAGATTGGAGGATCGAGCAAGTAGCACATGCTTTCAGAGAGCAGCTCAACGATGGGCTTATAGCTAACCCAACAACAAACGTCCTAAATCCGAGTGCTGAATGGGGTCCCATCATGGCTGTCATCAAAAAATCTTGCAGCGAGACCCGCGGCCAGGTCAAAAGAAAATACCAGGATTGGCATGATGAAAACTACCCGAAAATCGAAGTACTAATCAATAGGAAACTTGCTGCTATCACTGACTGGCAGAACAACCCTAAGTCTCAGACCAAATCTGATACCTTCCCAGAGAAGAGAGCAGCAGTCCAGCGCCAACTTTTCAAACTAATGACTGATCGGTGGAAAAATATAGTGTGTGAAATGTAAAAAAATGCGGATCAACTCAGAGTGCGTGTATTTTTCAATTCCGCTTAAACAATATATGGCCCAACTACTAATGGTGTGGCCCCCCCCTCTGCTCACCCGATGATGACTTCGTAAGTAAAAACGAAGAAGGCATCAATCAGCACTGGAAAGAGCACTACGATTCCTTGCTCAACCGAAACACTGATGTGGATCGCCTGACTTCCAAGCAGTTTCTCAGCACCCAGAGCTGACCCACCTCAAATATCCTCTATCCCGGGATGAGGTAGCTACTACCATCAAGCAGATGACAAATAACAAATCCACAGAGCCTGATGGAATCGCAGCCAAGATGTAGAAAGGAGGAGCACTTCTGCTTACCAGCCGTCTCCACTCTCTCCTTGAGAATATATGGGAGAAGGAGGAAATCCCCCAAGATCGTCAATATTTATAAGAAGAAGGGAGACTGATCGGACTGTGACAACTACCCCGGGATCTCACTGCTGTCTGAAGCTAACGAGATTATCGCTCGAGTCCTCCTAAATAGACCTCTTCCTAAGGCGGAAAACTTCCTCCCAGAATCTCAATGTGGCTTTAGACAATAACGTGGCACCACTGACATGATCTTTGCTGCGCTCCAGATACAGAAAAAAGTGCAGGAGAACAACGTCGTGACTTATACATGGCCTTTATTGACCTTACTAAAGCCTTCTACTCGGTCAACAGGGAAGATCTCTGGCGAGCCTTCTGTCGCTTTGCCTGTGCACCAAAATTCTTTGTCATTGTGAGGCAACTTCACGATGGCATGAACGGCAGTGTCCTGCACAAATGCACCCAGTCTGATTTCTTCCCCATCCAAACGGGGGTAATATAAGGATGTGTACTAGCAACAACTGTCTTTTCCATTTTCTTGGCTGCCTTCCTTACTCGGCGCAGTGCCAATTTAGTTGGCAGGGTGGGCATCCAGTACCGGATGAAGGAACTTTTCAACATAAAACGACTCCAGGCAGGAACAAAGGTACTGGCCGCTTCCATCACTGAACTTCAGTATGCAGACGACCTCACCCTCGCCACTCACACTGTACGTGACCTACAGGAGATACAGAATATCTGCGCAGACGCCCATGCACACTTTATCCTTGAGGTGAATGCAGGTATGACTCGGATTTACTTTCAGCCCACGCTGGTTCAACCACTCCTCCACCATTCATCCAGCATAACGGTACTGCCCTTTCTAATGTTATCCACTTTCAGTATCTTGGTTCCCACCTGTGCACCACTGCGGACATCGTAAAAGAAATTCAACATCGGATCAGATGTATTTATCAAGCTTTTGGCAGATTCCATACCCGTGTCTTGAGCTGTAGGGAGGTGAAATAATCTACAAATTTGCACGTATAACGAGCAGTGGTCCTCCCCACCCTGCTATATGTCAGCGAGACATGGGTCACAAACAGCAGGCACCTCAATGCACTTGGAAACGTTCACCAACGCATTCGCTGAGAAGACAAGAGAACAAATGCCAGAATTCTCGCTGACACCATCTGTAGGAGCATCGAGTCTACTAATATCCATGAACAACTACCTGCATGGACGACAGGAGACTGCCAAAGCAGCTACTTTACAGTCACCTAATGAAGGGTAAATGCAACGCTGGCGGACAGCGGAAAGGTACAAGGATAATCTTAAGACAAACCTGAAAAGAATAAGTGCCACCTTCACCTGGTAGACGATCATTCCACACCGTAACTCTTGGAGGAGCACCACACGAGAAGGTGTCAATACTTTCCAGTTAGCCCGACTGCATACCGGGTCAGACAAGCGCCAGCGCCGGAAAAACGCTGCCACCGCCCCTCTCGCTCCAGATG